CCACTGACCGATAGAAGCTGTTGTGAACCGTGTCACAGGTCCAGGGTGCCCTTCTCCGCCCTCTCCACGCCGGACCAGCTGCACGCAGAGTTCATATTCTGTGCGAGGTTCCAAGTAGTTGAGCGTAACAATTTCATTTGTCACTGAGAAGAGGGAAAGTCCAGGAAACTTAAGTTGGCATTGTTGGACATTCTTTACACTGGAATGTTGCTATTGTGGTGTGAACTAATGTTTGGTTTTTAAAAATGCAATGTCTTAGTGAAACAGAGAGGCAATTCCATCTTCAGGGCCTCACCATCCCTAATATAAGGGAAATAAGGTTAGTTAAGAGAAGCTTCTAGGTTACCGTATATACATGAATATAAGTATCTATGTGCCACTTACTCATTTCTGCTCTAGTCTTTTCATTTGTAAAGGCACACAAATATTCAACTGTATGGAATACCGATTTGATTTAGGGGGGAAATCTCAATTAGAATAATATAAAATAATTTAATTTCTACTCTTTTCAAGTGCATACAGTAATTGCAATCAAGCTATCAAGAGAAGAGACTCTGAGGGTTTGCTTACAATGACAGGATAAAGGATTTGTAACAGTCATAACAAATGAGGGGTTCTGAAGTACCTGAAAATAGATCCTATTAACATAAAGTATATGCTGCTTTTCTCCTTAGCTATTGACTATAGCCAGCCTCTGTTTCTCCACAGATATTACAACGGTAGATTTTTGCCTTACCATAGGATAAATTCCCAGTCGGTAAGAAAAAAGTGTGTAAGAGTCCTTAGGAGACCATTTTGTCACTGTCTACTTGTGAAAACGAGAAGATAGATTTTTACTACCATATGAAAAAAGCTGCTTTTTATTAAGACCTAGCTAGCCACTGATGTTGGAAACAGCAATCCAGCAAATCAGCCTTATGTCACTGGGATTCTGAGTTTTGGCTGAGTCTACAACAGAATGTGAAGAGGTTAGTCATAATACCATGACCTTATTCAATGTACCCAGATCGACTAGTGTTATTAAACCAAAAACCTTTCTTTTCTTCTCCTTTTAAAAAGTTCCTTAAGTATCTACATACAGTGGGTAGGGGGCCCTTTATAGAAAATCACAGGAAGAGTGAGGGTCAAGTAACAGTGGAGAGATGTGTGTTGCCTGCAAGCATGATAGTGGCAGGTCTCTCTACAAGATGGCACAATTACAGCTGCATTGTCAATTGATAATGCTCAGTAGGCTCTTTAAAAATTGGGATTTTACATCAGCATGCAACAAACAACTGTAATTTGTTTCAAAATAAATTTAATAAATTATTGAATTCATTAAACTGTTTTCACAAACTTCTGACATTTTATCACATTTTGTCGAACTATTTCTTTCTTTCAGGAAGTTTGGGGAGGGGCCTGTAGCTCTCTGCCCACACTCCTTGCTCTGTCCACTCAAGTCCAGTCGGCCATGACCTGAACTTTTTGGGTCCAAATTGCTCTCAAAATCTCTGTGGGTTGGAAGCTTTCAGGAGAGGGCAAGATGCAAATGAGAAAAAGAATACACAGCTCAATACAGCAACAATCACCCCTCAAATTTAAGCAGATTAGGTCTCTGTCTTTCGAGCAGGACCTGCACTTTCCTGTTGGCCATATTTATGGCATAAACATGTGTCTTTCACCATGAGCAACACACAGTAACTAAAAACAGGACTGAAGAGCTAGAAGAGCCCAGGGGGGGAATATTGATATAGAGAGTGACTCCTGATGCAGGCTGTTCTGTGTCCTCAGTACATCATAACCTTCAGGAAGGGTGCCCCAGATCTCAGAGGGCTGCACATTCTAGCTTCAATATTCTGAAATGAAACCCCCCAGCCACCACCATGGAGTAGAGCGTTGAGACAAGGAGAGGGGATTTCTATATTTAGGGGAAAATGTATTTCCTGGTGCCACATCTCCAGCTGGAGCCCTCCCTGTCCAAACCTTACCTTGGATATGCCGCCATGCCTCATAATGATTAACAGGTTTGTACAGAAGCTTCTTGGATTTGATTGGTCCATCCCCAAAGAAAGGCTCGGAGCTGATGTTGATGACAGCAAAGTTATGTCCAGTGTTGATCACGTTTGGGGCATTCAGAGGCTTGGGAAGAACTAAGCAAAATTTCAGCCATCAGATTAGTTCTTAGAGTTTGGGGTTTTATCACTGTTCTTAGGTGGGGGGAGAGGGAGTGCCGTTATATTTTTCTCTTAACGTTCTCTGCTCAGATTTAATGCAGTCACCTGCTTGGTGATCTCCCTGCCAAGCTCTTGTCCTTCCAACTCGTTAGCCACAGTCAAAGTGTTTTCTTAAAATATGAACACTCCTCTGCTCAAGACCTTTCACTGGATTCCCATTACATGTAGCATAAAATTCGTACCTGCCAGGCCTTGCACAGGTGAGCCCCTGCTTCCTCTCCAGCTTCCTCGTCCCCTCACCCAGACCCTGCAGTCTCACTACCTCCTTTCAATTCACCCAGCTAACAAGGCACCATGCTCCTTTCTGTCTCAGGTTCTTTGTACATGTAGTTCTCCTGCAAGGAGTGCTCCACCTCCCACTACTCTCCTATTAACTCTTACCTGTCACAGTTCTCACCCACTGATGTGACTTCTTCACTGGGGCTATCCTAGGACCTCAGTTAGGCTTGTGTGTCAAACACTTCCACAGAACTTCTACTTTTCCTTCCTTGTCATTTTCAGAATTTATTATTCTTTGTGACTTTGGGTGATTATTTGATATCACTCTTCCCACTCGATTATGGGCTCTCTCCTCCTCCGCCCTCTCTCTCTTTGGTTTAAAACAACACAAACTTATCACTTAGTTTTGGTGGTCATAAGTCAGCCATCTATCTCACCAGGCTAATATCAAGGTGTTAGCAGGGCTCTGTGCCTTGCTGGAGACTCTAGGGAGAATCTGGTCCTGTGTTCTTTCCAGCTGCTAAAATCACCTGCATTTCTTGGCTCACGGCCCCTTCCCCCATCTTCAAAGTCAGCAAGTCGCAACTTTCTGACCTTCTTCCATTGTACGTATCATTCTGAGCCAAAAAAAGGTTCTCTATTTTTAAGGACTCATGTGATTAGAGTGGATCCCTCAGGATAATCCAGAATAATCTCCCCATCTCAAAGGCCATGTATTCTCAGCGGGTACAATATGACTACCAAGGAAGTGAAAATTGATTCTTGTGGGATGAAAAAATCTTAGCCATTAAAATGGTTTGTGGCCTTCCAGAAAGCCACAGTACATAAACGTATATTTTGNTAATAGTGAGGTACTATTTTTTACATTTGAGATCAACCAAAAAAAAAAAAGATCTAACAATATCAAGCGATGCAGATATAGGGAAAAGATATAAACAGACATGGAGAAGATAGGCAAAATGGTGCTCGTATATGCTCCTGGACATAGTACACATTGAATAGTCACTTTAGAGGGATACAGCCAGTCAGTTCCTCTTCCGGGCCTGCTCCCTAAAAAGCTCTCACCTGTGCACATAGAGACATGTAAGGATGGTCATTGCATATTTGTTTGTGATAGAAAAAAAATCTAAATGTCTGGCTAAAAAGGAAGGGATAAGTAAGATGATATATTCATCACATAGACTATTATGCAGAAGTGAAAAAAGCATATGTCAGATCTAAGCAAATTAACATGAACAAATAAAATTCATAATGTTTCTTCAAAAAAGCAAGATGAAAAATAATATGTATACGTATGTACAATTAAGGATGTATATAATGTATTAAAATTATACAACACTGAATGGAAAAAGACACATAATAAACTCATAATTTTGGTTGTCTCTGGGGGAAGGGGAATAGAATTAGAGTAAGGATGATGGTCAAAGGGGATGTTGGTATTGCCTGTCTTGTGTTATTACTTCCACAAATCAACAAAAAGGCTGAAAGCAAATATGACAAAGTGTTAACAGTTGTTAATTCTGAGTTGTAGGAATATATTTGTTTTATTATTGCCTGCACTGCTCTATAACTATTAAATTTCACAGAATTTTTAAAAAATGATGGAGAATCCCGAAACACTGACAAAACAGTGGAGACATCCACATGTCACTGACACAAGAAGAGAGCAGCTTCAGAAACACTGAGCCAGTTGCCACACTTGTTACCTAAGAAAAGACCCAGCTACAGAAGAAAGCCTCAGACTTTG